AGGACCCACGAGCAGCAGTTTCCGCATCTCCTGAAGCTTTGCTCGTCAGTCCTAGCCATCTAGCTTAGCCCCATTTCACGCCGCGTGAGCGGTAGTTGCAGGAGAACCGCTAATTAAGTCACGTGACTGTGCCTCGAAACGATATTTTGCGGCCGCCATCTTTACCGACTGTTATTCGGAGGATAGCGGATATTTTTATTTATGTCTTTTTCTTCGACACATTTATATGTTTAGACAATTTTTTAGGTTTATGTAAATATATCAAGTTCACTCTAGAAGTTTTAAGCGCAAACTATTGAATGTAAAACTGCATAGTACAACCATATAGCCAAACATTGCTGGGTTGGTCTTATACGTCATGTACAGGATATTCAAACTAACTCTTAATGTTATTTCTAAACTGTATGCCATATTATAGTGTTTGGGAACAGTGACAACTGAAGTAACTCCAGTAATTATTGTACATTCTGTTTCAGATTACTCGACTGAAGAAAGGTAACATTTCTCCTGAAATGGAACTGAGAGAACCCTAACCCTAACCTTAACCCTAACCCTAACCCTAACCCTAACCATTTTTGCATAGGCAACAAGCCTTTCATATGAATAATATTATTTAGTTAAACTGTCGTTGGCCTTGCCTCTAATTAAACAAATTCAACACACACATACACTCTCACGTTTCATTGCAGACACATTTGATATATATATTTGGTTAAAACCGCACTGCTCCCTCTTGTGCGAAGATATTTCAGTGTATTGTCTCATTGTAAACTTTAATTAATAAGGTAGCAACACTGCGAATTGTATGCACATCTCTGTTGGGGGTGGTGGGGTGGGGGGGGGGGGGGGGGGGGCATTATGCTTGCTGCATTTGTTTTTTTCCTTGTAGGTTTTTATATGCTATTCACTTATTTTATGGTTTTCATTGCTGTGTTTGCGGCAATCCTAGTACTTATAAATAAATGGTTAAGGCGCAAGTAGAACATTGCAAAGAACATATTATGTTGCTGGCATATTGAATATATTTAACAGAAACATATATAAATATAAAATATATATAAATATATAAATTATATATATAAATACATAAATTATATAAAATATATAATATATATAAAAAATATATAAATTTAACAAATATTTGGTCAGCTTACATAAGGCCAAACTTTTGTAAACTTACTGACTTAGTTAACCGACAGATCCTTCTCATTGCTAAACAAACTATTCAGTTTATAAGTGCTCGGATCTTCTTCGCAGTAACTTCCACCGCGTGTGGCGCCCGCTGCTACCAGGAAAACTTTACTGTGGCAAACTTGCAACCATAAAATACTGTTTTCACATTGCAGATTGCAAACATCATGGTTGGGCTTCTGTCTGACTTTGAATCACTAGCCAGGAAAATTACAGCTGCAACTGTGGGAGTAACTCTTCTGCGAGGTCCTGCATTCGGCCATGTTTTACACTTTGAAATCGTGCCGGGAAAGAGTTTGTGTGGTGTTTTCTTTCTTGTCTGTTCTTTGTCTGCCTGTGCTCTACTTCCTTATCCTATCTTGGCGTATGCCTTATATGCTAATGCGTTGCAAGACATCCTTTCTGATTCGGCAAACCTGTTTTGTCTTTGTATGTTTTTAAGTTCTGGTTCTCAGCCAACTTGTTCTCATACGACATCATTCCTGTTTTCATCTGTAGTCTCTGCTGCAGCCATTTTCAGACATTTCATTTTTAAAGTTACTTCTTCATCTTCGATCCTTCTGTCAGAAAACTTATATCAGGAGGCCGGTAGCCTTTGTGAAAGCTATCGTGCAGTCCATATCCTATCGTGTACCATACAAACAGTTTTGTCTTCAGTGTGGTTGTAACAGGCCAGATTGCGTCTCTGTTGTCAGCATACAGTTGACAGTGTTGGAGCACATGCTCAGCATTTTCGGGTGCCACGCTGCAGGGACACGTCTCCGTGTTTCCTACACCTAAAATTTTGAACATATGTTGACGAAATCTGTTGTGCCCAGTCCTTAGTCTGAATATAATGCACTGTCTCTCTCTAGAGAGGCGATGAAGTGAGTCTTGGGGATAAAATCTGGTTTGGGTATCCAGCCACCTTTCTTGGATACTAGATTGTATTAGTGTTTTCATCTCTTGGTGGGTTAGGTCGCTATTTGGTTGTACCATGTCACTGCCGCTTCTGGTTTAAAGTTACTGATTACAGCATTAATTTTGGCAAAATTCATTTTTTTTTTAGTTGTCAATAAAGGGTGCTGGTTACATTACTAGTGCATCAGGTATATGATGCAAGTCAGTTCACTTAAATCAATGCAATGTTTCCGCGTTGTAAATGTAAACCAAGAAGGCACAACAATAGATTGCAGAATTTATTGCCTGGCATATTTTGCTGTATCTCGTCAGGTGTATACTACAATAACAATTATATGAAGGAAGCAGATAAGTGAATCCTTTATAACTGAATCATGCCTCTCCATAATCCGCGATCTCGCATGTATCAACACACATCCATGCCCATGCGAGAATCCTTTATAACGTTGAAGTCCTCTATCCCTCCTTCGTTCGACAAATTCGAGAATCCTTTATAACTGAAGTATACGTTCAACAAATTCGAGAATCCTTTATAACTGAAGTATACGTTCAACAAATTCGAGAATCCTTTATAACTGAAGTATACGTTCAACAAATTCGCGAATTCTTTTAAACTGAAGTACAAGTTCAACAACAATCAAACACAGCTGGCTATTTTACGTGTGCAGTTTGCAGTATCTGAATCATGTCTGTTTTTTTTTTTTACAAAGTTCTGGGCGTGGGTAATGAATCGCGGCAGTTTCAAGTCGGGATGTGGGCAGAACTGACTGACGCCTGGAGATACATCGCTAAGCATATTCCAGTATGGGTAGGGGGAAAACAATACGAAAGTTTAAAATGAGAACTGGCTGTAAAGACTTTCCATCCGAAGTAGCAGGCTGTCTTTTAAAACCTGGACACACTGTTACCGGAAAAAAGCATTTGAAATCCCTTACACGTCGTTCAATGGCAGACCGCTAGGCTTTCTTGAAGCAGCCGCGATTTATTACCACCGCCCTGAACTTTGTAAAAAAAAAAAAAAGATATGATCCCGACACCGCGATTGCGCAGGTAAAACAGCCATTTGCGTTTGATTGGTTTTGAATTTGTACTTCAATTATAAAGGATTCACTTACTAGTAGGGCTGTACCGAATAGTGATTTTCACTATTCGGCCGAATACGAATAGCTGGACCAACTATTCGGCCGAATACGAATACGAATAGTGAATCATCATGTGCTTTGCCGGCTGGCATAAGCGATTATGCCTCGCCACAATCTGCGATCTCCTGCAGTACGTATTAGTTCGTGTGCTGACACACCTCCATGAAAAACCTTCGTTCCATGTTGTCAGCATTAGGGCAGCTTTTTTTTCTCACTGAAGATATTTCTAGCTGTACTAAACAGGAAAATACGACAAATACAGAGAGTCAAGATAAAAACCCGCAAGGCGAAACATCAAAAACAAAAAAAAACGCCGACGAAGAAAACAATGCCGTCCTCACAAGTCGCCCAGCGGCCCCCCCCCCCCCCCCGCGAGCTCAAGGATTCAACGGAAACAAGATAGCGACATCAAAGACCACCGCGGACAGGGAGACGGACAACGCCGAGCAGGCAACACCTGAAGATCAAATAACGAAAAAATCATTGCAGACGAAAAATCCAGACGCCGAGCGGCCAACGCCAAAAGATCAAACAACAAAGACAACGAAGAAACCGAACGTCGATCAAAACATTCAGCCGCTGCCCTTTCCACCAGACGACGAACGAACCGTTACGACACCCATTAATGATGACGAACTTTCGTTACTTCAAACAATCAACGAAGAGGACTCTCCACTCAAAGAAATCAAGCCGACAACACTAGAACACTTGCTTTTCTGCCCTTCTTACATCTTTAAGTGTTGCATTTTGTTTCTACAGCAACACACCTAAAAACACTATACTCGCAACACATACAAGATGGAAATAAAGGGGCACTTGGTACGCTCGTAGGTGGTGCACAAAGATAACGCTTGACAGTTTAAACGAAGGTTGGAAATCTTGATGTTTTTTTTTCCACCAGTCCAGAAACGGTTGTAACCACTATTCGTATTCGGCCCGACCGCAACTATTCGGCCGAATACCGAAGAGTTATTGGGTCCACTATTCGGCCCCGAAGCGAATACGAAGCGAATATTCGGTACAGCCCTACTTACTAGCTTCATTTATGTAAATGTTAGTATGCACCTGATGAGATACAGTAAAATATGCCAGGCAACAAATTGTGCAATCTAATGTTTGTGTCTTCTTTGTTCAAACTTTATTTAAAGACCAGCCGGTACACTGCCAATGATGTGGCCATCTTGCCGATCCGACCATTTTTACTTCATATACAATGTGTAAAGTGAAATAATAATTAGATCCATAGATGTTATGCCAGGAATAGCGGTTGGTGGGCATATTGTTATCAACCTGCGATATGCTGACGATGTAGTGTTGATTGCTTAAACTGAAACACAACTGCAAGAAATGGTGGACATAATTGTAATGGTAAGGGAAAACAAGGGTCTTAGTTTGAGCAGCGGAAAAACAGAAGTAATGGTAAATAAACAGAAAACTGACCCTCCAAAATGCTGCATCAAAGTAAATGCGACAAACCTCAAGCAAGTTAATATGATTAAGTACTTGGGTATCCTGGTAACATCAGATGCAAGATGTATTAAAGAAGTTAAACGTCGAATATCTCAAGCAAAGGCAGCATTTTATATATTTATATTTAAAAAAAAAAAAAGAATATTTTATGCAATATATCTTTTCCATTGAGACGAGAAGGAAAATTCTGTAAAGCTGTACAAATCCTATATTAATATCTGGAGGTAAATCAAGTGCGGTTTGTAAATTAGGGAAAAACTTAATGTCAGAGTAAGTTGAAGGTGATGAGCTATGTGCATGTGTCCAGTAAAGGGGCAATGCTTCAAGATACGGTTTGATCAGCTGCTTATACAGTGTATATTTCCTGTGTTATCTTCTAAGGCTATTTCAATAGGCCAACTCGGGTTGAGATCATTATATTTTCTCAACCTTTTCCGTGTACTGTAAACTGTGGTTCTCTTTTGCTGTTGCTGTCTCCGCTTCTGCCGCAGGTCACCTAGACATTTGCTGATATCAGCCTTTTTTAACTTCCTTATTTCAATGTCCACGTATTTTTTGTGAGCTCCAGCTTAAGCAACTCTACTTTTGCCATTGGTTAGGTCTACCCTTTTGCTTTTCCTTTTTTCTAGATTTGTGAAGGGCTTCGATGGGTATCCACGCCTCATGTTTCCGCTTACACCTACCAGGGACTTCTACACACGATTCATTCCAAATCCTTCAGTCAGTTTTCAACAGACATGAGTACATGGAAGCATGGAGTGACATTATGAATTTTAACTCTTGTATGATGATAACCAGATATCAGCTTCAACTGAAGATTGAACGGGTATCTGGGATGTACTTTGTTGTTCTATCGTCCAGATTAACATTTATTTAATCTCAGGAGGATCTGAATGACCTTTTTTGACTAGCCTGAAGGGAACAAACTGATCGATAGGTCGGTAGCTCGTCAATTTTTAACGCATTAAACGCGTTTAACGTGTTGCCTAGGTACCAAGACGAAGTCTCCAGAGAATGTTTATCGGTTTAATGAAGTATTCAATAAACTCATTAACCATGCAGAGAGTGTCGTGTCTTGTGTACACATATTTTTGTGCTTTGTGTGTTTTGACACATATACACACCTGAGACAAGAGATCACGTCCTCGAAGACTGTCCCAAATACAACATACCAAGGCACAACTTTTGATAAAATTACAACAGACAGTGAAGTTCATACTAGATTTAACATTGCATATTTAGACAAAGAAGATTTAAAAAAAAAAAAAAGAAGAATTTACACATACCTAGTTGGGTTGAGCTAATTTAACTCAGATATTCACATATATGTACCATTCTCATCTTCAGCAGCCAGGGCAGAGATCCAATACCAGTAGCAGTCTAAGTTGTATGTACTCCACCCCCTCCCCCTTTTTTTCCCTTTGTTTTGTTTTGTTTTGTTTTGTTTTCTTGTCTTCGAGTGTTGACCAAAGTCCCTGGTCACTGCTCGCTGCACAACTCTCTTCACATGACCTACTTCTACGGGTGCATTGCTCACTCTCTCCAAGGTAGCCTTGATAACATCCAGCTTGTCTGCATACTCTCCAAGGTAGCCTTGATAACATCCAGCTTGTCTGCATACTCTCCAAGGTAACCTTGATAACATCCAGCTTGTCTGCATACTCTCCAAGGTAGCTTTGATAACATCCAGCTTGTCTGCATACTCTCCAAGGTAGCCTTGATAACATCCAGCTTGTCTGCATACTCTCCAAGGTAGCCTTGATAACATCCAGCTTGTCTGCATACTCTCCAAGGTAGCCTTGATAACATCCAGCTTGTCTGCATACTCTCCAAGGTAGCCTTGATAACATCCAGCTCTCCAAGGTCTGCATACTCTCTGCATAAGGTAGCCTTGATAACATCCAGCTTGTCTGCATACTTACACGTAAAGGGATTCCCTTCAAAACATAAATCGTTGAGAGGAATGGAAACTCACATCCAAATGAATACAAGTAGTACTTTGTGGTGGGTATCTTCCTGACACGACAACGCCGTGATTTCGCGCCACCAATAGTTGATGCAGACGTGAAAGTTGGTGGAGGAACACAAATTACTGGAAGTTGTTGTTATTTATACAAATGGTTCTCAGATTTTTCAGAAGCAAAGTGCATTGGCTTTCAGGGCAAGAACCAAAGTGAAAGTCATTAAAAAAAGACGGTGGAGCTTTTGCTTCCACCACCAACAGCGTGACAATGGAAGGTCATGGCTGTGACAAATGCCCCATAATTGCTGAAAACTCGGGTGTTCAACAAGGCATGTTTGCTTAACGACTCGGGGAGCATGCTAGAGAAGATCAGCGCGGGGGTACATATGACAACAGCGGTTCCATCTGATACAGCACGCAGCGTTTTGCAAAGTCACCTTCATTTTTTATTTTTGTAGGTCGTGCTGGTGTCAACGAACAAACTAACGAACAAACTTTATTTTCAAAGGGTTAAGAATTGGGCACGCAGGCCCTGTCTAACATTCTGCCCGTCTATGTCGCTCCTTACATACAATATTTCATCTGTACCGCAGTTCATAGTTAATGATAAGAAGAAGAATACATTTTTTTAAAAGTGTAAAACACACAAGTCTTAGTTTAAATGCTGGAATGTGTTCTTATTATATTGACGTCACTGAACGTTTTAAAATGTATAGTTCCCTGTGTGGGTTTCAGGGCCCTATTATAGGAAAAAAAAAGAATAGACCCACTGCCTACCCAAAAGCACGTCGTAAGAGCTGACTAATTGGGAGCTTCCTTCGAAGTCGGAATGCATCTGCCTGAGAGGCAGGGAACCAGCAATCTGCATACAAATGAGTCAGACCTGTAAAACGGATGCACACGCAACACTCAGGTTCTGGACCAGGACTGCAGTCCAGAAGTGGTCGAATAACCAGAACTCTACGCCCGAGTTTACAGCTGATAAACGCGAAGAAGAAGAAGAAGAAAATGTATAGTAAAAAGCCTATTCCAAAAATGATATGTCTTTTAGGTTGCATAATATAAACATGTGAAAGGTAATGAGGTGGCAGACCGACTGGCAGTGTGACTATCATGAATAGGCTATCTATGGACAGGAAAGACAGTATCAATACCTTACGAAAGACTAAACGTTGTGACGCTTTCAGTTTCGTGGAAGATGATTTTTTACTATATAGACTGCATACCCAAAATGTACCATCTGGAGCGGCGAGACGAGAAAACCTTGCTGGGAGCCATCCGTTGCTACATCAGCCAGAACAGAATGGGAGTTGTTAGTCTAAAGTCTGTATGGTCAAGATTCTGTTTCAAAATCTGTTTCTTTCCCTATTCTGACTCTGTCTCAATTCTAATGTGCATGGTCACGATTCTATCATCCAGTCTCTGGTCTATCTCCCCATTCTTATGGCTACAATTATACTGTTATCTCTGCTCACATGACTACTTCAGTGCCTCTGTCTGTTAACCTGTGAAAGTTAACGTCACAATGTGGACCGCAAGGAAAACGCATGAGTTATTATCCATTCTCCCCAGCAGTCAACGACTTTACATTTACTGCGATTGAGAGAACCAGACAGGACATCCTAACTGCACACTGAAACATGCTTTTTCCTTTCGCCCAATCCATTTTCACCTTCTGGGGTATACTAATCGTGTCCAAATGAGAACATGCTCAATCCATTGTAATCTTCTGGAGCCTACACACTGAGTTCAAGTGATAACATGTCCAATCCATTTTAAACTTCTTGAACCTACTCACTGAGTCCAAGCGATAACATGACCAATCCATTGTAATCTTCTGGAGCTTACTCATTGACTCCAAGTGATAACATGTCCAATCCATCTCGATCTTCTGTAGCATACTCATTGACTCCAAGTGATAACATGTCCAATCCATCTCGATCTTTTGTAGCATACTCATCGGGTCCAAGGAGAATATGCCACCACGAAGATCTTGTCTCCAGCCAAACTATGGCTTTAGCTGCTCGATGACCTCCACAATCAAACTACTTGTGTTGGCAGTTGACATGAGCTGTGCACATGTAGGATAACAGGCCCGTGTGTCTAAATGACTGGGCTACCTTGAGAAAAATCTTCAGATTTCAAAGTCTGAACTTTTGCATCTAAGACCAGGTTTTGCTGTCTGCGTTATGTGTCCTGTCTGTAAGCACTTACATTCATTTTGCTGTGCATGATGTCTATTCTGATCTACATCCATGTTTAATGTGTAAAGCTTCACTGTGTGTGTATAAGGGCCAGTCCATAAACGTAAATTTCGGTTAGAGTCAGTATCGACAGATCAAATTATACCATAGAAGGATTACACACAAGACGAAAGAATCGAATTCATTACATCAGTTTTTTTTTTTACATAGCTTTGCTTCTTTCTGCAGACAGTCTATGTGTCTGTCACATAAAGAATGGACTCTGTAGAACCAAAAACGTTTCTTGGGGATCTCCACTGAAACTGCACCTTAAACCAAACGACGCAGTCTGTGAAACGAACCCAAAGAGAAAGGACTAGACAGTGGCGGAAGGGACATCGATGACAGTGCTTACAGTGCGTCAACCGCCATTACCCTCTCTGCAACCATATCGTTCCTAGCTTTTATTACCACATGAGTAAAACAGCAATGATGAAAGGCACCATTACATGAGCCATTCCCACAACTAGTAGGGACGAACTACATCTGATGTTAGAAAGTTGTTATTCAAAGAGAACCATTTTACATCTACCATCAGCGAGTCGACCAGTGCTCTCGCTTTACCACATAATAGCTTATATGCAGTGATTGGAACTCCAGTCACTCGACTAGGACTCGAGTTGGGTTTTTTGCCCAGCGACTAGTAACTCGACTTGCTAATTGTGGCTTCCACAACTTGGTATGAATTATTTTTCGCGGCCAGCAACTGTGAGGTTTGGTGATACAACGTCACAATTTAAAACATCTTCATTTAAACAGCACAAAATAGTTTTGTTTTCTATTTATCAAGCCTTCACGTTCTACTTATTTCGCTTTTAAAAAAAAATATAATTCAGTGAGATTCTCGCAGTGCCATTACACATTTTAATCCATAAGCATTGTACCAAGATGACTTGCAAAAGACTTCATAGACGAAGTGACCTGACTCAGAACGAGACTAGGAATCAGTCTTGTTGACTTAAGATTTGAATTTGGACTTTGTAGCAATGACTTTAGACTTGACTTAGATTTAAAGGATGATGACTTAGTCCAACTTCTGCTTCTGTGGTCGAGTCCTATGTGACGATCTTCTGCTGCCTGCGCTCGATCTGGCGAGTGATTAGAATGCCGTGGACATTGTTACTCCCTCATTCCGTGATAGGATAGCCCGTGGATCTAACATTGCAAGCACCGGACATTGAATGTGATAAGTGGGACCTCTTTGTTGAGCCAGTGTTACGGTTGGTCCTCTAGTCCTACTACCGCTTTGAATCACTAGGGTTCGTTGAGAGAGGTTTTAATGAAACACATTTTTTTATCTTGATCTGCGATTTGACCTTAAGTAGCTGAATCAATATTATTAGGTTTTATCTTTAATAGATGAATCATTTACAGATTTGATTAAAAATAGTCTAAACGTTATTGAGAGATTTGATTTGAAATATATAAACCATTAAGAGTGCCTAGCTGACACGGCATCTTGACCCCTACGCCCAGCCCCATTGACCCACTGGCACCTAACATTACAGAACGACAACGGTCCATTTAACCTAGTTTTTTAATGTTTCATAAAACCATATGACAAGACCCCTTAATTATCCCTAAAAACCCGTATAAATCTAGCCTACACTGCAAACTTGACACTCCTTCACTGATCCACGGGCAGCTAATCATGTGACACAGCCCCAGTCCCCTTTGCCTTATTTATTTTCTTTTGTTGTATAACAACTCATTGCATCATATGCCGTGACCCTTCAATGAACCATAAAAGCCTAAACTAACACGACATCACGACGAATTGACCTCAACACTTCTCTATTTTCTTTAGAAAGTAATAAAAATCATATGTCCAAATTATCTTCTCTTTTTTTTTTCAATGTACTTGGCACGATGCGCCAGGGCTACAGGGCTGCATGATACACAGTTTGTACATACTATACTACTGCTAGATGATATCTAAACAGAAATCTGGATATATAGTATACTAGATGGTAGCTGCATTACATGTAGAGCGTATCTGGGTATATGATACATAAAGGATAGCTGGGCAGTAAGTAGTATATATATATATATATATATATATATATATATATATATATATATATATATATATATATATATATATATATATATGATACACTAGAGGTTTGCTTGACTGCAAATTGAGTATATACACCAGAGGATAGCTGAACACAAGATGATGAGCCCGACAGCATGATTGGGTACATGATATACCAGAGGATAGCTAGACAGCAGCATTGATAAAACAGGACGATGGGTGGAACACAAGGCTGTAGGCTGGGTCAGAGATGCCAGTGACAATAACATCTTAGAGTGCAGAAAGACGGGCCGACTTCTAACAGATGGGAATATAGGTGCGCGTCATCATTGATCTCTAGAGATCACAACTGATGACCAATGCTTCTGGTAGCAGGTTGAACGTGTTAGAATGCCCCCCCCCCCCCCCCACACTCCTCCTCTTCATTTTTCTCTCCACCCTCTTCCCCCAATTGAAATAATCTAGAAACACCATTAAAACGTTTCCTCTCCTATTTATTTTGTGGTTTGTGTGTTTGTGCGTGCGTGTGTATGTTTGGTGAGTGCTTATGTGTGTGTGTGTGTGTGTGTGTGTCTGTGGGGATTTGCGTGTGTATGTTTGTGCGTGTGTATGTGTGTGTGCGCGTGTATGTGAGCGTGTGTGTGTATTTGTGCGTGCGTGCGTGTGTATGTGGGGTAAGTGCTTATGTGTGCGTGTGTGGATTTGCGTGTGTATGTGTGTGTGTATTTGTGCGTTCGTGCGTGTGTATGCGGGGTAAGTGCTTATGTGTGCGTATGTGGATTTGCGTGTGTATGTGTATGTGTCTGCGTGTGCGTGTGTATGTGCGTGCGTGCATGAAGCATCTTTTGGAAAACAGAAACTGGTGCTCTCGTTCAGAGAGTTATGTGTCGCTTAATAAGATGATTGACTTGAGAGTGTGTGAGGAAATGAAGAGTCTGATAGACTAGCAGCTGCCGCTACCCTGGACGCAAGCTTCTTTATGATAAAGCGAAATGGTTTGTTGGTGTTTGTGTGTGAGTGTGTGTGTGCGTGCGTTCGCGCGTGTGTGTGTGTTTTAAAAAACCTCTTTGAAAACATGTGTACAGAATACACAGTACTCGCTGTATGGTTCATGCGTTTATTGTCTACTTCATTTAAACAATAAACACACATTATAGATCTTGTGTTGACACATAGCGAATGACTGGGATTGAGAACATTATGTGAACACATAAACTGGCAAGGCTGTTATCAGGTTAGCAGCATATCAAAGTTTATATTTGTAAGTCACTGTGTGCTTCCGTGCACTGACATCTGCTGAGAACAGAGCATTCAAGGAATTTAGATTCAAACTTGTGTCAATTCCTTCACAAAAATCAACGGAAAAATAAGACACGAATACCCTTCGAAACCCTTAGCAAATCAAAGAAAGGAAACGCAAAAGGGCAACCCTTAACAACAGAAAAACTAGACCTGAATAACTTGAAGCTCATGGTTTTAAAAAAAAGGAAGTTACTAAGTTACTAACGGTAGATGTGTAGATGACTTAACAGACGAAGCCGTGACAGCAGTAGCAAAATGGAGCCACCGAAACATTTATAGTACCTCAAAAAAAAAAAAAAAAAGGCTGGGGGAAAAATTATCTCCTAAACCCTAAGAATAGAACCGGCCTGAAGCAATTGCTCTCAGAAGTAGCGTAGGAAATATATCAACAGGGACTAAACCCTATCTTAAAGCACTGCCAAGTCACTTCACATGTGTACAACACAAGCACATCACCACCAACACGCTTTGAGATAAATAATGCCTGGGTTACATTGAAAGAGAGAAAAGCTATTTGGCTATCTGGCAAGAACGCAGCCAGATTAAACTGTGCATCAGACGATCTGGATGGAAAGCCAGACCAAGGAACAGATGGATAGACGGTATTGCTGAAACATGTAAAAGAATTAACACTTACGTGAGTTGACTGGTGCAAGACATACACACATACACCACACACACACACACAACACATACACATACACACACACCACACATACACACACCACACCACACATACACCACACCACACATACACATACACCACACCACACATACACACACAAAACCCCACGACAATGGACTACAATACGGTAACAGAAGAGGTTATGTAGGTGCAGAATACACACTGTCATCTATGTATGAGGTCCAAGAAACATAATTATTCCATTAGGCTTGGTGGTTTTCAAGATTATACAGTATACCCCGTCCCACAATCATACAGTATACCCCGTCCCACAATCATACAGTATACCCCGTCCCACAATCATACAGTATACCCCGCCTGGAAGATTGCAGTCATTAGAATTAATACCTCAAGGATGAGAATCAAACAGGCACCGTTGTACAATACCTGGAAACCATATAAAACATTTATATTGGGGAATATTACAGTTAATTAATAAACTGCATACCAAAGTGGGTGGTACATCATATATTAGATACATAACCCTACAACCAAACATCATACAGCAGATACAAAAATACTACAACACGTTTTAAAGCAGATATAACACACTACAACAGCACATATAACACACCGCAATAGTCCATTTTACAACAGACAAAACACTACAACAATACATCATATACCCAAAAAAAAAAGAAAACACTGCAACAGCGCATCATAAAGCAGATTAAAAAAACACTACAACATATTTTACAGCCGATATAAAACATTACAGTAACACACCATACAGCAGATATAAAACACTACAACAGCACTTTACCTAGCAGATATAAAACACTACAACAGCACATCATTCAGCTGATATAAATCACCTGTACCTTTCGTGCAAAAATTTTAAAACCCATATAATTGTCCAAATAATAATAAGGGCAGTGTCGACGATCATGAATACGACGTTTAAAAGTGCTACAGTATATATCAAGACAACAAACCACATGACCCCCAAGCAGAATTCTGCATGATATTTACGACTACAATATTAATTAAAGTTTACAACAGTTAGGTTATATATTGAAATTTCTTTGCTAAGTAGAGATATGTTTTATCAAATATGTCTGCAATAAAACGTGCGTGCATGTGTATATTGAACTGGTCTACTTTCATACAAAAACGATGACAGTTAAACAAGATAATATAACGATACGAAATACTTGATGCCTACAGAGGGAATAATTATGAGCCCTCTGTCTCAGTACTGGAGAAATGTTATCTTACGTCGTCTGAATAATTCTGAAACAAAATGCAGGAAAAAATTTACTGAAGTGACTTTCATTGCCACTTTTCTCAGCCCCTATAATATAACATACAATTAAGTAAAACTTACACTTAGGAAGTGTCTCCTCTACAGAATAAATTAGAAGCAGCCCAGCAGTTTTCCTAAGAACTGACAGATGTCAGCATTGTAATAAAAGTAAGGGAGATAGAAACGATTGTGATAACTGTCACTGTAGCTCTCAGTTTAACTACGGGTGCAAAAATCTGTGCTTGTGTATCCTTAAGGAGACTGCAGGTTCTAACAGAACACGTATATCCGAAATCACAGTGTGGGTTTAAAGTCCGGTGATCAACAGCAGATTTGACTCCTCCATCAGGCAGCTACAATAAAAGTGCAGCGAGCTACAGAAGTCACTGTTTATTGCCTTCACAGATCTCATTGTTTATTGCCTTCACAGATCTCATGAAGGATTTTGATTATGTTAGCAGAGATAAAGGCATGGCACCAGGAAGGAGGGGCAGGAGCCGACCTAGACAAAGATGAGCACAGGATATAAGTGAATCCTTGAGTGTAAAAGTTCATGAGGCGGGAGAACTGGCGAGAGACCGAGTTTCTTTCAGGCAGACTGTGATGAGAGCGACGTTCTGCAAAGGACCTGCTACATGATGATGAGAAGAGATGGTCTGTTTAAGATCAATGCTAAATACGGTTTCTCACCTATACTCCTGAGCCCCGTCGAATTTTTCCATGAGAAATACAAATATGAAAATTCGTCATCGTCACCCTTTTCGATTCGCTATGGTGTAAAGCAGGGTTGCGTTCTGGCTCTCAGACTGATAGGCCTCTTTTTCACTGATGGGATATATCTCCGTACGAGGTCAGATGGCAAACTTGTCAGTATGTCCAAGCTTTGTGCAAGGACTAAGGTGCAGACAAGATGCCCCAGGGACTTTATATTTGCGGATGATGCAGCCATTACTGCACATATTGAAAATGATCTGCAGATTCTCATGAATTGCTTTGCACATGCATGCAAAGAATCCGGATCAACTATCTGTCTCAATTTAAAAAAAAAAATTATATGGATGACTGTGGTAAACCCACCAAGCATTAGCGTTTATGACCAGGAGCTGTTCGTAAGTTTGAAAACTTAAACTCTCGAATCGCAGACGATCTTTCCACAGATGCCGAACTACACAGACGAACTTAAAAGGTTTCTCCAATGCTTTCCAAACGCACAAGATATGAGATCAAATAAGAAGCTGATGGACAGGACAAAATACAAGTTTATGAAGTTTGCGTCCTGGGCACGCTCCTATACGGCAGTGAAAGCTGGACTATGTATGCTGCCTGCTTTCCAGATAGTGAATACCTGTATGAGACACATTCTTGGTATATCATGGGGAAACTTTGTCCCCGCTCAACTTGTACTCAAAAGAGTAGGATTGCCAACAATGTACTTTCAACTGAAACAAAGACGCCTGCGTTGGATGGATGGACGGTGGCATTTACCGATTAGATCATTGGTTTTGGGGTCAAACTGTTGCCTATTCGTGTTTTTGACGCAATTTCCACAACGCTCAGTTCTCTGCAATCGCTACATGCAATCATTCACTCAATTTCCCTATTCTTATCCTGATTTTACCCCAACATAATACACGGCCAATGGGATCTTTTCCCCACAAAACGATCTCAGTACCCGCATCGTTAATGTCACATTCCCCCCCCCCCCCACATCCTTGTATTCTTCACGACATGACAATAGCCAGTGGCAGCCAGCGTGCACTAGATCGCAAATTATTTCTTCCCACGGCGCTTTATGGCAAAAGTGTTTTATGATGATGATGATGATATCGTAGCAGAGACCAACCTTGACAGCTTCTGCCCACCTGTAATTCACCATAAAAGATGTCATTGGAAATGACACCATCCTCTATCCTTCAAGTGTGGCCTAGCTGTCTGAGCCTTCGAAGACTATACATCGAGAAAACTGTCAGTCAAGAGGTATACGTTCTCATCTTAAGATTTCATGTACTTTAATAGAGACACCCCTGCTCGCACTTTTCCTAAAGCTATGCCGCTGTTACCCCAGTTGCAGCATCAGGCGATGGCTTCAGCAAGATGGCGATGCAGCTTATCAGTTGTCTGTACAGAAACACAAATAAACGTTAACCGCATCAGAAAATAGTATTTGTGGTGGCTTTGATTTTCATAACTTACATAGTACAACTATTACCTCATTAACCTCTTTTCGATCCAAATGTGAGACGAAGTATAATTACCCAATCAATTGGCAACTATGACACTCTTTTCAACTACAGTAAAAAGACGGAAAATTCAATGACATGGACATGTAATGAGATCTAACAGCCTTTCAAAAGCAATACTACATAGCTTAGTAGAGAAGAAGAAGTAGACTATGCAACTTTGCTAACAGCGGCATAGCTTTAGGAAAGGTACCTGAAATCTTAAGATGAAAACATATACTGCTTGACTGACAGACCCTCACTCCATAATCATCGTATGTTACAAGATATGTATAATGCAACATTTGCAGTGTTTCATCTGAATGAAGTAGGAATTAGCCCAGAACGCAGAGAATCCATAAGAAATAGCAGCGACAGAGACATTCGGGTAATGTTTCATATTGGCTCTAAATTATCAAAAGTCGCATGAATGCGTCAGTTTTTGTCTGGATTTATTTTGTGTAGCTCCAACGTAAACTTCAATGAGAACGCCCAGTAGGTACGATATTCAAGTTACTTTGAAAGTGGCACCTATAAATTATTGCTTTCGTAGATTAGGTTCACATGTTAACGTTGATTTCCTTGATTAAAAATACCTATCCTTACTAAAGTTATATCGAAGCTCTTCTGAACTAAGGAGAAGTGGCTAAAACAAGATATGTCTAATGCAATAAATGGACGATTTGTGGTGAAGTTTATCTCATTGAAGTGTAGATGTGCCACAGTGCAGCGATTCTCAGCCTTTTCTTTTTCACATAAAGCAGGCCAAGGATCGTATTTATCCCTTTTTAAAAATTGTGCTATCGCTGCCCTAAAAAAGGTATCACTATTGATAAAAAAAATATGTTTCACTCCATGTGTGATAGTCAAGTCTATAAATATCTAAAATCGAGATCATCACCTGTTTAAACTGAGATGAGTTCAAGAGCTGTCCATTCTCGAGAATGACGAATGGCCAACCAGACGCTTATTTCGAGATCTAGTGAACTGCCCCGACATCTAACAAATGGTATGAAAGCAGCTTTGGCTTTCCAGGATAGAGGTTGGCGACGCTCTATCTAAGAAAATATTTCGTCAAAGCAGAACTAAAATATGCCACAACGCTGGGAATAACACGAGGCTTGAGATCGTATCTCACGTAGCTATGAAAGAGGCGATTCTGACCGACTTTGACCTTTTTCTTGTGACTGCCAATCAGGCAACACAACCGAAGTCACCTCTGACATGCTTTGCAAAAATCAAACATCTTTTAACAATAAAGTAACACTGATGTCATAAAGCTAAAGTCAAGAATCAGTAATAGATTTGCGATGTAATTAACTCGCCCCAAAGGTGATGTTTTCCTATATAGATGTTTTAAAAAATAAAATGAAATGGTTCCTTCTGTTTGTTTCACTTTGTTGTTGATAAATAATTACATGTATAGCTGTTTTATAATGATGATGTGTGGTCATTATAAAGTGATATTACCCCTCCCTCTCCCTCTCTCGCCCCACACTTTCTTTCTTTCTTTCTTTCTCTCTCTCCCTCTCTCTCTCTCTCTCTCTCTCTCTCTCTCTCTCTCTCTCTCTCTCTCTCTCTCTCTCTCTACGTAATAATGACTATCATGTTCATGGATACATAACATAAATAAATAAAGTTTGAAAAAGCAGTGAAAGTAGTTCCTACATTTAGAAAACCACACGAAAATAACAATAAATAAACATTACTTCACACACACACACACACACACACACTCGCACGCACACACACACACACACACACACACACACACACACACACACAGAGAGAAAGTCACAATTAAACAAACACCACATATACACCGACAGACAGATGCACACAGTCAGACACGCTCACACAAGGGCACACATACAGACAGGCACACATAAAGAATACATTTACTTTCTGGTGTCCTGGAGTTTACTTGTAGTTGATTCCGGACTCGAATTTAGTGTTTAATTTTGGTAAAGCTAGTATCAGATATTAATTAGAACAAGACTAAATTTTTCGTGAAAATAAAATGTGAGCATGGTTTCCTGGGCTCTGTCTGAAATATTCAGTGCACCAGATTGGGTAGTGAAGAATATATATATATATATATATATATATATATATATATATATATATATATATATATATATATATATATATATATATATATGAATATATATATATATATATATATATATATATATATATATATATATATAGTGTTTGACCCAAAAACAATTATTGTTTACCTCTGTATTTTCTGCTACGTAATCATTAGTAAACACTTTACTGGCGAGGAACTGGATAATTTTTCACCACCCCCCCCCCCCCCCCCCCCCCCCGC